GCACCTGGGGATGATGGGCACCTGGGGGTGCTGTGCACCTGGGGATGATGGGCACCTGGGGATGCTGTGCACCTGGGGATGATGGGCACCTGGGGGTGCTGTGCACCTGGGGATGATGGGCGCCTGGGGGTGCTGTGCCTGCTGTGTGCTATTGCTGCACAAGCTCTGCTGCCCTGCTGCAGGGTGGAGTGATCGGTGTCATCATCAGCTGGGACTGCAACCTGGATCTGCCTGACACCGAGTGCAACCCGCGCTACTCCTTCCGTCGCCTCGACCCCAAAGGGACTTTGGCATCGCCAGGCTACAACTACAGGTGACAGCCCCATCCCCTCAGTGTCCCCGTGTCTTCCTCCAGCCCTCACACCTGTGCCCGCACGCCTTCCAGGTTTGCCAAGTACTACAGCTGGAACGGGACCTGCACACGGGTGCTGACCAAGGCCTATGGGATCCGTGTGGATGTGATCGTGCAAGGCCAGGCAGGGAAGTTCAGCCTGATCCCCACGGTCATCACGTTGGCCACTGCGCTCACCTCAGTGGGACTGGTGAGTGTCCCGGGCTGTGGGGCTCAGCCCATGGCCCTGCACTGACCTCACTGTGCTCTTCTGCAGGGCTCTTTCCTCTGCGACTGGGTGCTGCTGTGCTGCATGGACAAGGAGCGGCGGTACAGCAGCAGGAAATTTGAGCAGGTACTGGTGGGCTGAGGATGCTCCTCTGCAGCCCCAGAACATTCCCCTCCATCCCCAAATTGACATTTCCCACACAGAGCTGTGCCCACGGCTGGGCAGAATGCACCTTACAGCCACCCACTACTGCTGCCAATAAACCATCACTGCTCAGCATGCCTGTGTCAATGGAAGGATGCAAGAACCACTGCTTGCTGCGCCTGGGGGAGAAGAGCCAGAGGAGCTGAGGGGCTCTGGGGCTGCCACCAAGGCACAAACCCTGCCCAGAGGCTGCTTGCAAAGCCACAGTGCTGCTGGCCCCAGCCCAACAGCACTGTGCAGCTGGCGCCTGGCAGTAAGCAAGTGGGGTATTATTTCTGAGCATAATCCACTGTTTTCCTTGCTCTCATGTTACAGCACAGCCTCCCACAGTGGCTCAGGGGAGAAAGCAGGGTGGGGGGGTGAGGGGAGGGCTGCAGCACACAGAGCCTCAAGGGCTGTGGGAAACACCCCAGAGCAGGGTAGGGTGCACTGCTGGGGTGGAGGACCCCACGCTGCTGCTCCAGGGCTGTGCTGTAGGACAGCAGTGACTGCAACACTCTGTGCTCAGGCTGAGCCCCAGGGAGGCACTGCCCAGCCCCGGCTGCAGCCCTCTGGGACACAGTTACCAGCAGTATGGGCTGAGCCAGACACTAACTCAATTGCACAAAGCAGCAATCGCATTAGGGGCTGGCTCTGCTGCCCCTCCAGCCCGGTTCATTTGGAAATGAGGGGCACAGCCTTCACTGCTTGCAGCCCAGGAGCAAACAGAGGCAGCTCCCTGCTCCTTCCTGCACAGCCAGGAGCTGCCCCACTGCCCCTCTGCAAGAACCAGGCGTGCTTTAAACAAAACATTTATTTATACATATTTTACATTAAAAACACACCGGGCCGGCACACGGGGTCACACCTCCAGCACTAACATCCACCCTGGGCACAAGATCCCTACGGAGCACAACTCCCACACACCCCGGCCCCGTGCTGGGCTGGCTGCAGGAAGCACAGCTCCTCCCCTGTTGGTGCAGCGCCCAGCAGTTCCTAACCAATGCAGGATGCAGGTGCAGCCTCAGTGCTGGAGCTGGGGGTTGGTGTGCAGCAGCCATTCGATGGTTTCCAGCAGATGGGCCATGCCATAGTGCCGGGCAATGTTCTGGAAGATGGTGACGTGCTCCATGAAGGTCTGAGGGAGGAGGGAGAAGAGAAGCTCACACGGTGGACAGTGGTTAGAGGAAAGGCAGGAGGGCAGCTGGGTTTGGCATCCTAACCCTAACCCAGTAGGAAAGTCACCACGCAGGGAGCCAGCAGCATGGGGGTGGGCCAGGCAGCCTGCTGCAGGAGTACCTGGGAGGAGATGGTGAGGGCAAAGTCTCCAGCACAGCTGCAGTACACAGGCATGTGTGTGTCCTTCACGCCATGGCACTTCTTGCACACCTAAGAGGCAAAGGAGCTTTAGGTGGGACGGGATGAGACACCCAGTTTTCTGCTGGGCACACGATGGGCACAAAGACAGGGAAGTGCTGCCACAGGCTGATGAGACGTGTGGGACCAACGCCTCCGTGCTGTTTGCAAGGTCAATCTGCCCCCCCTAGGGCAGCCTGGTGCTCACCAGGTCCTGCAGCATGAAGGCCATCAGCTTCTTTTGCAGGGCTTCCACCAAGGCCATTTCTATGGAGTCAGAGTCGTACTGTGCCTGGCAGTTGGAACACACCCAGCTAGGCAGCACCGATCCGTCCTGGACGCAAAGGGGAGGGCAGTGAGCACAGAACAGACTCTTCCTAAGAGGAAACGGCCAAACAAAGCTGCCTGGGAAGTCCCCAGTGCCAGGGAGATGCAATCAGGGTGAACTCTGCTCCTGGAGAGAATGGAGCACACAGCACTGGGGCTTCTCACAGAGAGCTGGAAAAGGGGGTGCATAGAAATGGGCTTTAGGGGAGGCTGAGCAGCACAGAGCCAAGCAAAGGGCATGAGGGAGGAAGGGGGATTGACAGGCATAGAGCAAAGCCACGCTAAAGCCTCCGTGTCCATGGCTGCACCTGGGAGAGGGCTGGGTCCTTGCACAGGTCCAGGTCCCTGCAGAAGTTGCAGTTTCTGCAGATGACTTCAGGGAGCACATAGGAGCTGCAAGGGTCCCGAAACTGGGCTTCATCTGAGAACTCCCCCACCTCGATGAGGCGCAGCAGGTCCCTGCGCAGCTTGTTCACCTGGTTGGTGACATTGGCATCCAGGGACAGCACCTGCAAGAGACAGCCCAGTGAGCACACCAGCAGAGTCCTCCTGAGGACAACTCACACCTCACACAGATAGAGAGCAGGGCAGGGCAAAACAAATTGGC